AGTCAAGTCAAGCTAAAAGTGTTTTTCCTTTGCAATTTTGGCGTAAAATCAAAGGTAAATTTTTTTTTCCTATTTAAACTTGATCCGGGAACATAGTGTATACTTGCAAAATACATTTCTTAAATAAATTTATGTACTTGTAATTTGATAATTTGAGGAAGCTTGTTTATTATAATCACAATTTAATGTACACGTTATAATCTACGCCCATTGAAGTAATTTTCACAAAAAGAAATTTTTTGGGTCTGGACCAACTTCCTAAATAAGGGTTTTTCGACATATTACGTGATCCCCAACTAGTTACTCGAAAACACTATTTCAACAAAGCGCAGTGTGAGCAGAAAGTTAGACTGGTAAATAGTTTTTTCTCCACAAGTACCAACTTGGAAGCCGTTATACGTCCAGGAACCAAACTTCATGAGACAACTTTGCTCGTCAAAGGGAAAATATTGGACGTTTATTTCGCAGGAAGACTTGTATATTGAAGGAGGCTTCCAGATGACTTCCCCGGTGTAAGAAAGCGTGGCTTTGGTCATCAGAGTCACTTCGTAGTTACCATCAGCACTAAAATTGCAATGTTACAAACTTTGACAAAAAAAATGGTACTCACTTGTTGAAAAGTACTATATCTGGTAACCAAATGTGTTCCGATGGTACGTACAACATCTCCACACCTCCGTACTCCTCAGGATCCCATTTTAACTTATAATCGAACCATCTCTACTTTTTGGTACTTTAAAACTTTTCTGATACTAACCACCACCACTCACCTGCACCACCCACAAATTCGTTGTCATTATCTGATTTTTCAAATTCATTTCAATCAACTGGGAAATTTTTAATCCCAACCAAACTGTTAAAGTTTGTGTGTGATTTTCCACAGGTCTGATGAGTCGATTGTAATTACTTAGGAGGTCATCATATAAGCGTTTCGCATCTGGATTTGCTTCAATATGTTTGAGGCCATCTACAAACCAGATTTTATGGCAATTCAAACAGTAACAACTTACCAATATTTCGCATAAAAACAACAAACAAGAAACTTAAACAACATGTAAACTTTAACAAGTACATAATATTAGGTTTGTAAGAATTGTCGCGTTGACATTTCTTGGGATGCTGGTGGACCAGCCGCGAAAATCGATGAAACCACGCATGGAGCTTGAAATTCTCTGGCATTAGAGTTTTCAATACCTAATTAAATAAAAATTACTCTATTCTAACTGCTTTCAATTTTTTTTAATTTTTTACTTCATTATTTATTCTCAATTTTTGAGATTAAAGATTGTAAGTTTGAAGTTCGAAGCACAGACTCAGAGCTTTAAAGATTACTAGTTTAAAACTAGTTTAAAAAATGTAATAATTAACATATTTTTTTGCGAAAAAATATTACAATTTTTAATAGTTTTAAAAAGTGTAAAAACAGGAAGTGAATTTGAAAGATAAAAGATGTTGAGAAGAAAATTTAGTCTTTTTCTTGTATTAGAAAGTAAGTATTAAAGATTGTAAGCTTATAAACTTCATAACTATAACGATTTAAAAATTTAAAGATTGATGGCCAAAAAAGTATAAAGATTGAAAGACAAGGTTGAAAGATCTTAATTGTTTATTTCTTTTACTATCAACTTCTCTTTAATAAAACTCTGTTTTATTTTTTTATTT